AATGCGTTCAACTGCTCTCTTTTTCATTAGCAATGGCGTAGATCACCTTGTATAGCGGTGCTTACAGGTATCGTATGGTAAGGTGCTGATGAGCAAGCTCTTAGGCAGTGGAGAAGAGCTTCTTTAGTAGAGCAGCTATGTATCTCCTCACGTAAGCGATCGATTGCCCATCATCACGCCTATCACTGTTTCTGATGTATCTGTAATCAGTCTAACGCCATCACCAAAGCGGGGGTGTACCAACAAGGTTGCTTGTGCCAATTTCATTTTTATGCACTCAAATGCTAACTGAACCCTGCATTCCGTAATCCGAACGTAGTGCACAACAATTCAAACAATCCAAATGGGGTCGCGATCGCGGTCTTCTCAAAATCTTTGGAGGCCACTGGTATTTAGTGAAATGCTTTTTTAAGATCTATTGATGGAAAAAATCTTTTACCGTATTGATTTCCAGAACAGTCGTGTCTGTGCGGAGTCGGATACGGATCAAAAATAGTTAAAGCATTTAACCCACAATAATTTCTACATAATCTCCATAAGCCATCCTTTTTCTTATGCATAACAAGGGTGCTTGCCCATGGGCTCCATGAAAGCCTGCATAACCCCGCTTTTACACATTTCTCAAACTTAGTTTTTGTAATTTGAAGTTTCTCGGGTGTTAGTCGGCGGTCACGCTCATGAATTGGGGAACCATAGAAAAAATGTGGTGCTCGATCTCACATTAACCCAAAAATAGTAAGGCTTTATCCGCCATAATCTCGAGGAACGGTTTAAGCAATAATGCGTTCCTAGAAGATGGATCAATGGTTGATGATTCTCGCACATGGTCACGGGTTTTATGGTGTCGACACAACCTACAGTTAACGCTTTATTCAATAAACGCCGCCCTCGGAATTCGATAATCATACCATAATGATACAATAAATTGGCCCCAAGTATCGGACTTGGTCATCTGTGATTGTAAACTACAACTTAATCAACATTTAGAATCCAAAATTCAGTGTTATAATTCTCTTGCCGTATGTATCGATGATTGTGTTTATCACGTACAGCTTTTTTCAATTCGGGCAACACTTGACACTCTTATCTACTGATAACAGCGAAAGGTCGGCCCGGAATGGGCTAAAAAAACTCTACCGGATAGTCTGCCTATGATATGCAAGCGAGGAGACTGAGTTGTTTTATTTCTACACGTCTCCACCTTGGAAACGTGGACTAGTTTTTTTTGTTTGTTACAAAACTCATCGTATTTTATGCACCACTTTTGACACGATCCGGGATCGTCGGGATATTTCGAGTGCGCGTGGCTCAGGTTACTTTTGTTGTCGCATGGCCTTTCGAATTTAGAAGGCGAACGCCTTGATTTTTCAGTTTTACTTTGTATCACGCTTTTAATCACTTCGACACTTTTCATAATTTTTTTAATACCTGATCCAATTGATTTTTAGATTGTGATTGCTTCAATATAGACACTTGTTCCAATGCTTCACTTATGCACGGCGTGAGTACAGCAGTTTCGGAAAATGTATTGGCCAACGACGCTCAATCATGTAAATTAGTTGACCTCAGTACGACTATTTGTCTGTGATTGGATGGTAACTGCTCTAGGAATATAGATTCAACAATCTAACGGTACCAATCTGATTCTAATTTTCCGTCTCGCTTCCATTGGTCTGCTCGGTTTGTATTCGTCGCAATTCCCCCTGCAAGCACGTGGGCTGAGCGGTTTTTTCATCAATCTCGGCCCGTAATCGCTGGATGATTTACTCACCCACATCAACTGTCGATGCCATATTTGTTTATAACCACGATATGTTTAGGCTAAATCGCACTTGTGACGACTGTGCATACTACTTCAGTCGTTAAGAATTATTATGTAGTTCAATTTTGCCAAGGCTGAAATTCTACTAGCGTAACATACATTCGTGTGCTCATAAGCACTATATTTACCTCTTGTCTATAGTTCCCCGACACAATTCGTTGAACCAAGGTCATTCGGTGAGCCTCACAGCGTAAACAACTTTGTTACTTGTACATGCACTCGCACGTCTATACGAATCGAAGAATAGGCAAATACAGCTCAAAGACACCACGTCCGATTAAGTGCTGCTCAATCAACTTCGTGGAAATACATACCAATGTGCTTATGTATTGGCTCTTCGCTTTTTACGCACTTTATGAACCACGAGAAAAATTTGGCACCAATACCTAACACAAAATAAGATTGCCGTCTTTGTTTGTATGTGACACTAACTACCTAATTCCCTAAATTTCGCCTTAAGTTAAGACGAGCTGACAGCGATGCTTCGATGCCGTTGTTTAGAAGGATCTTCCAGGCGACACTGTTAAAGTTCATGATCAGCCGGCGTTGTACATTGAGTTTAAAACTGCACGCTCGGCAAGGCTCCTTATTTGCCTCGATGCGTGTTAAGCAACCTCCCTCAAAGATAGTTGGTTCGTCGGGATCACTTATTGTAGTGTTTTGGGCCAGGATATCACGCCTCTGAAGCCCACACACCAGATAGGAACCTTTCTATGGAAGGACGAGTAGGGTTATTAAATATAAATATATATATATATGTATATATATGTATATATTTATTTATATATGTATGTATATATACATATACTATTTTTCAAACTATAGGGCTTTATTTATAACGGTCGAAATACAATAACTCTAGTGGCTGCTGCAATTCGCACTGCCGTTTGACTCAGTAATACCGCTTGGTCTCGTCAGATACTCGCTAACTCGCTGCAACTGTAGTCTTAATTTTCCCTTTCGTACAGTCACGGAAGATGGGTATATAGTATCGCACTTTATATATGCAACGTCTTTACGTCCCTTACAAAGTTCACATTACCTAATACTAAAGCAACTCAACATGTTTTTCTTTTTTTCACAGAACCATTCACGCATTCATATTCATATATGGAGTTTGCAAGCTATTGGATCTGCTATGCATGGGCTTTTGTCTGCTACCATCGGCATTTTGTATCTTGTTCAACGTCAAAGCCTTCATAGAACTTTTTACCTTCACTGTGCACGCAAGTGCTCTCCTGTTTCCTACAGAGACTGTTTTTACCATCTTGGAACCTCAAACAAACATTTTGGTTTCTTTACTCGTAACTGAATCTTTTTGCCTGGATTAGCGTGACATCATCACAATGCCTGTTGTAAGGCTAAAAAATCAGAGGAGCCGAATATTAGTAATGAAAAGTGCTCAAATCCCTTGAATTTACAAAATCATCGACTGACAAAAATATTAGAATTATAATTAGAGAACTAAATTATTTTTAAGTGTTAAATTTTATAATCACTTCTGACTTATTACAACAAAAAAGTTGTACTTTTTGTCACATGCACATTCCAGAAAAAAATAAATAAATAAATAAACATAGGAAAGAAAACCTTTAGATTAAATTGGTACGCATTATGATTTTTTGCATGTAATTTTCAAAGATTTACCTAACCTTTTCTTGTGAATAAACAAGGCTACACAGTGCATGCATTGTAACCAATAGCAGCGTTCTGCTTCTTACTTTTCTGAACCAGTGAATTTCTTAAGCTCTACTTAGTTAATCTTTTGTAGGTACTAAAAATATTATTTTTTTTCTATCATAGCCCAAAACAAAAGAATTCTTATAAAATCACAAATCAGATGCAAAAATTGGTAGTATTAGTGGGTATATTTCAAAATTCTTTGAAAAAAATTTAACGTAGGTATAAAAAGGTATCAAGCATTCTAATTTTTTGTTGAGATGCATAATATCTTCAATTAAAAGACGTTAACTATTTAAACAAAGGTATTTGAAGAAAGGAAAAAAAAAAATTTATTTACAAAAAAACGTCCAAATAACCTTGATGATGACGATGATACCTAAAATTTAGAACGTTACAAGAGAGTTAAAATACTTCTACAGACCGAACTCATGAAATAAAAATATTAATAATTTTGAGACATTGGTTTAATTAAAGAATTAGAGGGAAATTCAACTAGTTAAAGTAAAAAGTATTGCTAACGATTAAAGCGTATTGAGCAATCCTAGTCCAAACATCATCCATCTCTTGCAGTAGATGCTGTAAAAACTGTAGTTAGCTTCTTCCGGTCTAATGAAATCATTCAACTGATGTGAGGCCAAAAAGATTGTGAATGATCAGAAAGTACAAATGAAGAAGCAAGTAACTTCAAATAATTTGAAAGAATTTTATGAACTGTTAACAAACACTGTTCCAGAAATAAATAGTCTACTTCACTTTGTTTATACTCAAATTGTGTACGTTATTATTCTTACTAAGGGCTAAAGGTAAAATTTTGCACCTTTGGGCGGAAAAGTACTTCGTACCCAGAGTGTAACTAAGAACTTTTCTGTCCATCGGTGTAACGTGATCACAAGGAAAAAAACGCGGCACTTGTACTTTGTATCCTAGGTATGAAAATGTAGTTTCTCAAAATTTGCTAACCTTCTACCAAAATACGGCTAAAAAAATTATAAAAGCTGTATACATGATATTATAATCTTTTTCGTAAGATCTTGCAAAAAACTTCGTATTTCAACGAACGAAGGTGAAAAATCGCATACGCTATTGCAAAGAGAATGATAGACTTCCATTCCGTGATGCATAATGTACCACTTTTAATTTTTTGGCGTCTATTTAAAAAAAAAATTTGTAAGTCACATAGAATCAAATGTATAAATTTTCGAAAATAAGTCTTCACGCTGAATAACATTTGAATTTGTGATTACTTATACTCTCCAGAACGTCTGAAAAAAAATTCTCAGACCTTATTCCGTAATTTCCAGTATATAATGCGTGAACAAAGATTTAGCCAAATCAAAGATGTGTCAATTTTTAGAATTGAATTTATAAAAGCTCAGGTAGGATTGGTGTATAGAAACTTCATTATAATAGTGTCATACACAAAAAAATATTATTAGTTATTAAATATTATTCATAGAATTTTAGTTTTTAGTCATACAATATTATTATTAGTTACCTGGTCCTTTCTATATTGGGCATCTACTATCCAACGAAGTATATGCTTATCTTTCGCATTTGAACTAGATGCTGTAATGATAAATAAAATGCAGGATTAAAATTTAATTAATATTAAAATCAAACAAATACATCTTACTTTTAAAGGAATACTTTCGAAACAAAAAAATTAGAACTCAGGACTTATAAGTTAGTTTAAATATCAAAAAAAGTCACGCTAAAATTAATGTCCATTAAATCTGTGTGTACAATAATATTTTGCTATGCATAATTAATTCATTTATGCGATGGTTTAAATTTGGTTTAAAAAGAGTGAATTTAAAACGTTACTTTAAACTTTTCGGGGCAAATGTAAGAAACGTACATGAACACACACCTGATAATATAAATCTACGTCACTTGTTAGAGTCACTTTAAGGTAATTTTTTAATTTTTCAATACAAGAAGAAACTTACAAAGTAACTGTAAATTTGGACTATAAAATTGTAAGAAAAAGTGCCCCCTCCCCCAATCACTAGACTGAAATATGTTCTGTAATATTTATTTCTAGACTGAATGTTCTTCTTTGATAGGTAAGCTAGAAAAAAACAAGTAACAAATGATAATTTTGTTCTTAGCTGAGGACTCTCAAAACACGGTTATCCGTAAACTATTTATGTAGAGCAGTCTAATTAATAAGTCAAAAATATCAAGGCACATAGATTTTGTTAAACTTGTTAAATAATTTTAATGTAAACAGTTACTATATATAAAAAATTATAAATACTATTTCAAATATAAAACATCATGTATGTTACTTGGTAGTAAAACTGAAAGAATTGCTTAGAGCTTCAAAGACAATAAGCCTAAAAAACCAGCGTGTGGGACTCGGAGTCTCCCGGTAAAAACGAAGTTCTCGCATATATGTAGAAATCATATGTACATACTATAAAATACAAGGTTCGTAAAAACACGTGAGTTCAATATGTATGAAACTGTACATTTGCTATGTACGAAAGGCTCGGAAATCCATCAGCGAGAAAGCACTAAATTTTATTTTTTTAACCGAATTATAATTCTAACGGTTTATTAAAAAGATGATGGTTGAGTATAAAATATGTTATTTGGTTAACAAAAACGTAAAACAAAGTATGAAATACACAAAAAGCGATTTGTTAAAGATATCGTAAACTTTAATTATAATAATACAAAATGAATTAATGCAAACGTTATAAAAACAAATGAAAAAGTTATTTGAATTTGATAAAAATATTTAATCATCCCATTCTATTATAGAAATTTTTGGTTTATGATAACCAAAGTATGATCATTTTTGAGAACGATCAAGTTACGTGTTGTGTGTCGGTAAAACTCAAAACTGATCAAGTATATCGTTTACCAAAATCAGTAGTAGTACTTGTTTCTATACCAGTATGTCCGGAGACGTATATGGAGAGAATCACGTCAACTGTCCCAGTGCCGTGGTGGACGGCCCGCGCGGGCGTCAAACACGACGTTTTCAACTCGTCGTTTCGGTGTCAAAACTTTGATAAAAAAATTATCAAAAAACATATTCTTACGTATTTTTTCCTCAGCTTTCCAGTAATGGCATCAGTTTTTCGAAAATTTGCTCCCATAACCTCGAAAAATGCACTTGTTTGAAAAACACGTTTTATCTCCATGATCTTCAACTTTTGGAATTTTTTTGATAGTCTAGATCGAAAGATGAGACATTTTTACGTAGACATCGACAATAAAAAAAGAGAGGTTTTTCGTTTTTATGACGTATTTAAACGACGAACGAGACGATGCGAGCCACGGCGGCCGGGCCACGTACGGCAGCAGCGCGTCCGCCGTGTGTCGTCTGCTACGTTGAGTCTGTTTGGCTATGTAATATATATAATGTAGTAGTGCACTACATTATATTACATACATTATACGCCATGGCGATGTAAACAACAATTAGTTAACCAGGGTTTACAGTGGATAAATAATAAATGTTTTGATAAAATTTATTCATATGTACAACAATTTTATAATAAAGAAATAAATAATGATTAATATTGATTAAATATTAGATATTTACATAAATAAAGCAAAAAATAAAAACAAATTTGTTTTACTTCGTTCTCTTTTTCTTTTTAGGCATGGTAATCGAAGTGACACTTGTTTTACGTTCTTTCAGTTTCAGAAAAATTTCATACTGGTTACTCAAAGAAGTTTTCTTCAACATTAATTTATTATCCTTAANATCAGTTTTACGTTTTCGTGATGCACGCATACGCAAACGTTATGCGTGCCACTACTTCCGGCTAAGATACAGTGAGGAGGTCTGAGCTGTACGAATTTCGTGAGACCCACTTTGACATTTTCATGCTCTTCTTTAAATAAAATGAATAGTTCGTACAAATTTCCAAGTAATAATCGTTTTTGTACATAAACACGTTGACCATTATCCTATTTTACAGAAACATAATCTTTTAATCCAGGCATCAAGCAGCTGACACTGTCACACTCGTAAAAAATTTTGACGCAGACCTCGACATCAGCAGATAAAACTTTTCCTTTTTTTTATCGGGCCATGAGAGTATGCCACGTTCTGCAACTAAATTTAAAGCTTGCCTAGCTTCTTTATCAGTGCAACTAAATTCTTTCATAAGCTCTCTTCGGTTCCAAAATTTCGGGGCGATGGTGAGCAACGTGATTCTCTCTCGCTTATCGTTAGATGATGCAAATTTCTCCTTCCGTCGCGGCTCGCATCGTCTCGTTCGTCGTTTAAATACGTCATAAAAACGAAAAACCCCTCTTTTTTTTATTGTCAATATCTACGTAACAATGTCTCATCTTTCGATCTAGACTATCAAAAAAATTCCAAAAGTTGAAGATCATGGAGATAAAACGTGTTTTCAAACAAGTGCATTTTCCGAGGTTATGGGAGCAAATTTTCGAAAAACTGATGCCACCACTGGAAAGCTGAGGAAAAAATACGTAAGAATATGTTTTTTAGATAATTTTTTTATTAAAGTTTTGACACCGAAACGACGAGTTGAAAACGTCGTGTTTGACGCCCGCGCGGGCCGTCCACCTCGGCGTTGGGACAGTTGACGTGATTCTCCGCATATGCGCATTGCGTAGTAATGTTTACGCAGCAAAGTGAGGGTGCCAGCACACATACAGTTTCCTTAAACACCTTTTTGTGGGTCGCATGGTATGCCTCTACATGCGTGTTCAATGCTTGCTTTCTCTATTTATTTTTTAAAATTTTAATATTCAAATTTGCCACCCTATTGGTTATGTGCTTGTCGCGCTTGGACTTGGGTGGGTATGAGAGTCGTGTGTATGTGTGTGGAATAAAAAAGTGCTCATATTTCCTCAAACAAGATCGGTTTGCAATAATTCTCATATCCCCCTCCCCACGAGTGCAAATATTTCTGGTGAAAAAGCTTTATCTGGGCAATTATTTTTTAATAATAACAAAAAAAAAGTTGGCAATACACGAACCTTCTACTGTTTAGTAGTCGTGTGAAACTGACAGGTTTTTTTTGGCCCAATGAGATACAAAGAGAGATAAAACCACCAAAAATTACGTGAGATAAAAGCCATAGGAACAAAAAAACTCACTTTATTACAATACTATTTTACAAATAAAACGGATAAATACTATTTACATCTTAACATAAATATTTATATACATTTACATTTATGTACATACACATAAATACATTAATTCGTAATTTATTGCTTATAGTACTAATATTTATGTTAATACAATGTTAAAAAATAGTATCTTTTTAATTAATTATATGAAGCTGCTAAGTTTAACATAACAAGAGCACATGATTTCACTCCCAAGTTATAATTATAAAAATCAGCAGAAAACAGAGTGCATCTACTTGATGATTTACTCCTGTAAAAATAATCACTTACTATTTTTACGTTTTTAAATTAATGAATTGCATAATTTTTTTATTTCACTACTGGTAAAGTAGTATATTTACTACTGTCAGAAATGTGAAAACCAAACTTTGCTATTTTGACATTAGTAAATTTGAAAAATTACACTTTTAAAAACTGCATCGCTTAATATACTTTTTCTCAAATACTGAAAATGAGAGTTGCTTTTTTAAAATAATGACAATGAAGGAACTACACTTTGTAAAAGAATATTTTTTTGTTTTTTCTTTTACAAAGCATACTATATTATACATTGCACGGTCATCAAAACAAAAAAACATGAATATAACCTTTTGATTACATGTGATTGCTTACATTTCTTATACTTTGAGTGCTCTAGCTACTAAAGAGTCTGTTGTAAACTGTCATCTCCAAATTTTTACAATATTGACTGTACTGTACATAATTTTAGCATTTACACCTCTACTGCATTTATAACGTATCACCATACACAACATAAATTTGATTGCAGTATGAAAAACAAAAATGTAAAAGCTTTTACAAACATGCTATGATGTTACAAAATTAGATATTTACAGAATGATCAGACTCGTACGGAATTATATTTTATGCTCACTATATTTTTGCTATATGATTTACGACAACAATTAATGTTTCAATTATTATGATGAACCGAATCTAAGTACCAAATCTTTTACAGTGATATAAAAGTTCAAAGATTTTTCACGATATGCATTTTACGGTTATTAGTTTTATTTTTTTTTTTTAGCTTCTGCTCTGCGTTTTTCATTAGTATCTCTAATAGTTATTAGTTTGAAATATTTTAATCTTAACAAATTTTTTAAAGCTTTAACCCGATGTTTATAACATGCATTATTTTTATAAAACCACTCAGGAAAACATTCAGTCGTAACTTTTTCTACTACCTCAGCTATAGAAATAACTAGTTTTTTTTTTATGCCAAAGACTCGTATGATGTGGTTGAAAAGCTTGAAAGTGACAAGAAATTACTTTTGAAAAAAGTTCCGTAGGCCTTACCAAATACGTTATTTCTGATACTGTTTCATGAGTACGTTCATATTCTTTACATTTTGTATAAAGTTCGTCATCCGTGACTTGTTGATCTTAATTTTTCTTAAAAACTTTCCCACAATTGTGACACTTGCTCTTTCGTAAAG